GTGCCACCAGGGAAGCCCAATGTTCTATTTCTTGATTGAACTGGACACTTATTTGTATACTTTTCTGTATGTGTTATACTTAATTATAAAAGGCTTAAAAGTATGTATTGAATTTTTATATATCATTGATATCTTAGAAGTAGTATCACATGATTATTTTAAATGAGACTGAAGCAGCTGTCAGAATGTATATCTGCTTCAGTATGTCCATTTGAATGTATAGCTGCCTCAAAAAATAAATAGAATTTAAAAAGACATCCCCACCCAGTCTCCCACCCTTTTTTTGGTTCAGTATTTCTTTTTGTACTCTTACTTGTTGTTTACTTATGGAATTGTATTTTTAACAAACAAAATAGTACAGTATGCAGTATAGCTTTTCAGTATTTAAATAGTTATTTCTCTCAGAAATTTTAAGGTATCAAAAAGAATTAAGCTTAGAACTGTGTGTAATATGATCCCAATTTCTCTATCTTTCTGTCTGTCATCATTTCTAGGTGTATAGGAAAAACTTGGAAGGATATAAGCGATAAGCAAACTTTTTTATGAGAAGGGGGTAAACTTTCTATTTTTATATGTTTGATATTTGAAATTTTTACAATAAGCATGTGTCTCTTTTTTTAGTTTAAAAAGGTACACTTTTTAATAATTAAGCAAAAAGATAGATCTTAGCTATTAAAATATTTTATATCCTAGAACTAGAAAAAGTCTCAACCTTTTTTCCTTTTGTGCTTATTTATTAAAAATGTATAAAACCTAACAGTTGAATACTGTCAAGGAAAACACCAATAATTTAGATCTTTAAATTCCTATTTAATGTCATCACTTAGATAAAACATAAAACTTTGATTTATGTGGTTTTTTTTTTTGTTTTTTCTGTTTTTCCAAATTTTCTAGAGTAAGCAATATTACTTTTATAATAGAAGTACTTAAGAGAGGCAAATCTTTATTATTTCAGTCTTTGCTGACGAGGTTAATATGTTGTACTTTTTTTTTTTTTTTTTTTTTTTCCTTGCGTTATGCGGGCCTCTCACTGTTGTGGCCTCTCCCATTTGCGGAGCACAGGCTCCGGACGCGCAGGCTCAGTGGCCATGGCTCACGGGCCCAGCCGCTCCGCGGCATGTGGGATCTTCCCGAAACGGGGCACGAACCCGCGTCTCCTGCATCGGCAGGCGGACTCTCAAGCACTGCGCCACCAGGGAAGCCCATATGTTGTACTTTTAAAGGATTTTTCTCCACTATATTTATTGTTCTTTTGTTCCAACTGGGAAGGGAAAAGCCAGACTGGAAGCTATAAAAAGTTATTTTGTGAGATGCTGTTTTTCTAATGGTATTATTAAGAATTGCTAAAAATACACACAATAGCTCTTGAGGAAAATGCAAACTGTTGGAATACAGTTCTTTTAGTGGCATATTTTTTTTCCAAAGTCAAAAGCCTTTGACTCATGAATATGCTCCCAAGGGTGAATTAACCTCCCTCCTTTTCCTCCTCAAGTTTCCTAATTGCATTTTTAGCTTGTGTAATTGTATTTGTCCTTTGTATACATAAATATACAAACCATTTTAAAATAAATTCAGTTTGCTGGCTGATTAGTTTTATGCATTTGAATTGGATGGTGGTAAGAGGTCACAGGTCTTGTAAATATCCCTGGAAATTAGGAAATTGCTTAGAGATCAGGCCCTTTTGACTAGATTCATCCTCAACTTGGAAATAAAGTTAGTTTTCACCTTCCTCCACCCTTCTGCACAGTGGTTTGAAGACTCTAGCTTAAGTGAATAAGATCAGAAATTTTGATTTATTTTTCTTTAAAAATATAAACTGAGTGTTAGTATTTTTCAGACAATTAAGGGCTAACATCTAAGGGCTTTGGTTATAGTTCTTATGCTGCTGATTAGGTATTCCTTGGTGGTGATTAGTGAATGTACAAATGCAATCATTCGGTAGGGTTTAATCACTTATATGAGAGAGAAGTTCGTTACCCAGAAGGAGAAATTGAAGCTTGTATAACTTTCATTAGCCTTATTTTTTTAATAGCAAAAAAATAAAGAAGAATAATTTTTGACTAAATTAGGAATATTGAGTAATATAAGATAAATTGTTGTTTAAAAGAAATAGAGAACCTGGGGAAATACACTTACGTGAATATAGTTTTCCACCATGTAGTATATTGTCTGTATTATAGGTAGCTTATGAATAGTTGGCCCTTACCAAACCAGGACAGATTTCCCTCAGAGAGAGAGAGAGAAAGAAGTGCTAGCTGAACAAGTGCAACTCCTTCTTTCTTTGCACTGGGTGGCTGAGCCCCACAGTTATAGCAGGGGTCAGGGGAGGAAATGTTTCCTTTCCCAGGTTTCCTACATTAACTCAAAGTTGAGAAGAAGAGAGATGTATAGCTATACCTTTTTTTTTTTTTTACAGGTCTCTAAGGCAATGGGAGAGTGGAATGCATGTATTTGGGCAATGCTGTATTTCTTTCTGGTGAGATGAGTTAAGGGCCTGAGCCCTGAGGGTAGGTTTGAGCCACTTGGGATGATGAACTAGGGAGGTGTGGGTGGCTGCTTAGGCCAAGCATTGAACAGTGGCATGACTCTGTTAGCTTCAGGGGTGGTTCTTCAAATGTGTAGTCAAAAAGCTTAGCTTCGGGCTTCCCTGGTGGCGCAATGGTTGAGAGTCTGCCTGCCGATGCAGGGGGTATGGGTTCGTGCCCCGGTCCGGGAGGATCCCACATGCCGCAGAGTGGATAGGCCCGTGAGCCATGGCCTCTAGGCCTGCACGTCCGGAGCCTGTGCTCCACAACGTGAGAGGCCACATCAGTGAGAGGCCTGCGTACTGCAAAAAAAAAAAAGCTTAGCTTTGTAGGCTCCCCAGGCGAGCAGCCTCTTCTTGGGCATTATTTTATTCTAACCTAATTCACAATTGCTAATATATAAATCAAAATGCTGTAGCTTTTCCAGCCTTCCAGGCCAGTTGGTCTTCACTCCGAGGGTGACCAACTATCCCAGTGTGCCCAGGACTCGTGTGGTATTAGCACTGAAAGTGCTGCTTTCAGGAAAAAAATCCTCAGTCTTGGGGAAACCTCTCAGTCTCAGAGGGATGGTTGATCACCCTATTTTACTTCCCTGAGCCCTTAGCAGCTGTAGCATAGGAGGAGGGGAAATGCATTCTCGCTGCCACTGTGTACAATCTCTTCCCTGTAGTACAGATGATGAAGAGCTCTTACATAGCAGTACAACCCAGGATGTAATTTCAGGGAGGAAGAATATTGCTACATCCCAAGTGTGCCCAGATAGTGCTCTTCTGATTATCTATTGCTGCATAACAAATGACTGCAAAATTTAGAGGCTTAAAATAACATTATTATCCCTTCTGGTTTCTGTGGTTCTGGGATTTGAGAAAATCTCAGCTGACAGTTCTGGCTCCCTCATTATGACAGTGGCTACCACTGGAACAGCTGGAGACCAGTCCAACACCTCTGTCTTCATGTCATCTCAAGTCACCTCTCTATGTCATCTCATGTCACCTCTCTATGGACTACTTTAAGCTCTCCTGTTTGCTTCCAGACAGGTGATGCTTACCTGGCAGTTTAGGGTTCTGGAGCAAGTGTTCTAGCCAACAAGAAAGAAGCTGCCTCAAATGTCACATCAGATATTATTGTATAGCATCATTTTCACCATAGCCACAGGATTCAAGTGGGGAGCACAGACCCCACTTCTTTTTTTTTTTTTTTTTAATATTTATTTATTTGGCTGCGCCAGGTCTTAGTTGCAGCACGTGGGATCTTTAGTCATGGCATGCGAACTCTTAGTTGCAGCATGTGACATCTAGTTCCCTGACCAGGGATCGAACCTGCGCCCCCTGCATTGGAAGTGCTGAGTCTTAGCCACTGGACCACTATGGAAGTCCCTAGACCCTATTTCATGATGGTTAGAAGGTCAACGTCACAACCTGTTGAGATGGAGACATTATTGCAGCCATCTTTGGAAAATATAATCCACCACAATTACCTTAGCTTCCAAATGCAGTTTTTCATTAATTAAAGTAGTAAAGTTGTTAAAATACGGTTTTTCCTCATGAATTTTCTTAATGCAATTTTTATTTCAAATGAAAACAAAAAGATCAGCCTGTAAATGTTACTTGAATTGTTCTGAGAACTCTTGCTTACCACTGTTCTACTGGAATGAGTATGTGTATGTGTGTGTGTGTGTGTGTGTGTGTGTGTGTGTGTGTGTGTGTGTGTATCTTCCCCAAAAACCAACTGACCAACATAGGTATAGTAAAAGTTCATTTGCTTCCGTAGTAAGAATTGTAAGGGGTGTGTGTGTGTGTGTGTGTGTGTGTGTGTGTGTGTGTATGGGAGTTTCTATGCATACATGCACCCCAGAGGATGGAAAGGAAAGAGTAATTGGGAGGAGACAAGGACAGCAGTGGCACAGGACCATTCAGGTTGAACGGAAGCATTCATAGCAGGAAAGAACTCTGAAGACATTGATGGCTGGAGAGGGAGCTAAGGAACAAGGGCAGTGGCTATCATTTAGAAGTGAAGGGCAGGTATACCTATAGCATCACTTTAGAATGATCATTCAGTTTAAAATGTGGATGCTAATGTTCTGATGCAGCTTTCTTAGACTGTCTCCCATTGTGATGCTTAAGACCCATGAGTTATTTTTTCTGATAGCCTCCAGCTTCTCACTTCAGAGTAATGGAAATTGGAATTTAAAAAAATCTAATGCTGTTATTTGGGGAATTTGCTGACAGCACAGTTTTAACAAAGTTTGAGGAAGGCATGCTACAAATCTTAATTTTATTAAACTGATATTTTTTGGCTTAATAAATGTTTAATATTGCAACATTTATGATTCTTACATGAGTTCTATTGTTTTGTCCTAAACTCATTATTTTATTGAGGAAAATTTGAAAAATTAAAAAAAAATAGGATAGCAGAAAGATTATAATTCTAAGTTACCATTTGTTTAAAAAGATATTTTATGTGTTTGGATTGTAGGAATACTGTAATACTGTCCAGCTAGATTCTGGGATAGATTATCGGAAAAGGGAACTTCCTGCTGCAGGAGAACTCTACTACCTGTAAGTTTTTTTTTTAATTTTCATTTTCTAAGTTTAATATCTAATAATTAATCAGGAAAAGATGAGAAAAATAAGCAGGGTAATTATTAGAAAATGAAAGCCTAGTTCTAAAGCCTGTGATTTTTAAAATACAAAACGTTATAATGTTAACTTCTTTAAACTGTGTTTTCTGCCATCCACATTTGCATGATTTATAATGTGTGATTGGAGGAAACCCTAATTAGTTTTTTGGGGAGGAGTGATGACAGATGGTTAGAAAGTAATGAGTATCCTTTTTAAGAAACGCTAGTATTAAGAGAATATCTTTATTGTGCTCAAGTAATTAATTATTTGTGGACATCTTCTGACAAATGTGTCATTTCTGTTCTCTGAAAATTGTGTTTTATTTTGTCAGTCTGTTTGTATTTATCATTGTTGATTGACTTCCATACATAACTATGTAAAATATATATACACAAGTACAACTGGATATATTTTGTCTTTTAAAAGCTCAGACTCGGGCTTCCCTGGTGGCACAGTGATTAAGAATCCTCCTGCCAATACAGGGTACATGGGTTCGATCCCTGGCCCAGGAAGATCCCACATGCTATGGAGCAACTAAGCCCGTGCGCCACAACTACTGAGCCTGTGCTCTAGAGCCTGTGAGCCACAACTACTGAGCCCACATGCCACAACTATTGAATCCCGTGTGCCTAGAGCCCGTGCTCTGCAACAAGAGAAGCCACCGCAATGAGAAGCCTGCGCACCACAATGAAGAGGAAACCCCACTCACCACAGCTAGAGAAAGCCCGCGCACAGCAATGAAGACCCAATGCAGCCAAACAAAAAATTAATTAATTAATTAATTAATTAATTTTTACAAAGCTCAGACACTCCTGAGTAGGAGCAATTTATAATAATAGATGTGTTCAGCATGTGTAGTTAATGCTGAAAAACAAATATAGTTTGTTTTAAAATGTCATTTGTGAGAACCTGAAAAGGAAAAAGTGCTTTACAAATGCAAAGTGTTGTTTAGTGTATGCTGCTAGTGTTGGGCACATAGTGGGTTCTCAGTAAATAGGTCTGTCTAAGGGCTAATTGTGGTTTAACTCAAAGGCATGTTTCTGCTAATTTAAATTTTGATGACAACGTGCATATGAGAGGTTCAGAAAAGTTCTTGTCTCTGCCACCTTGTAAGCAGAAGTACTTTACTGTTTTTGAAGCAGAAATTAGCTAGAAAAATCACATAATTAAAATTGCATATTTTACAGTGTACCAAGGGGACTGTTTCAGTTTATTATTCAGATTCTGATGATTATTATAGGAGGCTCTTCATCTTCCCTTAAGTACTTTGTCTTTAAATACTTTATAATTTTGAAAAATTCTTAGAACACTTTTTTTTCTGCTTTAACTTGGACTTTTTCCTCTCCATTTCTTTTATGTTTATGCTTTCTGGTCTTTTTATTTTTCTGATATTCACAAGATTTCCTTGAAGCTTTGTTACCTATTTCTTGATGCGCCAGATATATGGTACTTAGAAATTAATTTATTATTATTCCTTTTATTCTTTTTCAACAAATCCTTGTTCCTTGTTTTCCCACAAAGTATATCCTTATGTGGAAGAATTAAAACATTTTCCTAAAGGGAAATTCCTTCAATAAAGATGGTTGCCTGACTCTAAGTCATGAAATTTGTTTTTGGGTGCTAGAGAGGTCTCGGTGGAATTTACAGGAGTTGGAAAGGCTGCTTTTGCTTCAGCAGAGCCACTTTCTCTCTGACCTACTCTGTGTTGCCTCTTCCTCTTCCTGAAAAATGTAATACAGTTCTAACACATCGAAATTCAGGTTTGTACTTTAAACAAGTGCTGGAGGAAATCAGAATCTAACAACGTCCCAGAGTCCAGAAAACTAGAATCTACGAAGGCTACTGTGACACTCTAGAATGGCTTTCTTAAAAATATGTAAATTCTTTAACTTTCAAGGAAAGTAGATTTATTTTTGTTATTTTTAATTTTTATTTTATTTATTTATTTATTTTTGGCTGTGTTGGGTCTTCATTGCTGCGCGCAGGCTTTCTCTAGTTGCGGCGAGCAGGGCTTCTCGTGGTGGCTTCTCTTGTTGCGGAGCATGGGCTCTAGGAGCGTGGGCTTCAGTTTTTGTGGCACATGGGCTTCAGTAGTTGTGGCTTGCAGGTTCTAGAGTGCAGGCTCAGTAGTTGTGGTGCACGGGCTTAGTTGCTCCGTGGCATGTGGAATCTTTCCAGACCAGGGCTCAAACCCGTGTCCCCTGCATTGCAAGCGGATTCTTAACCACTTTGCCACCAGGGAAGTCCTAGGAAAGTAGATTTATTTATGAATTTAACATCAAAAGAGCTTTATCATAGTCTGATAATCAAGAATATAGAGCCTGGGGGCACACCTCAGAGGGAAGGCAGATACGTGTGCCTGAGGAGAATTAGGAATTAAAGTCATCTCAGAAGTGGGAAAATAGTATTAGATACCCAGATGGGATGCTAGGGATGTCATTTGTATTGTTTCACATGAGCCCTTGGGTAGAACTTCTTTCATGAGAGAGTAAAAGAAAAGTTCCTTGGGTCATGTTAACATTTCTGATTTAATTAAGTTTCGTTTTATCTTGTTCCTATAGGAAAACATTACTTTCCCCTCTATAACAGATTTTAATGTGCCATGCTATATATTGCCCAATTAAAACATGTATTTCTCTTTATTACCCTCTGCCTAAACATCTGGAATTGGTTCCTGAATATACAAGTCCTGACTACTCCCTTTGTCAATCTCACTGGCACCCCAACTAAAAAAAAGAAAAGCAAAATTTAGCTTCCCTCTAGGGGAACATCACGCATTATCTCAGAATTTCATATATGCAGAATCCCATATATGATCTTTAATTAAATAGAAATAGTCATTAATTCAGTATTTTATTAGTCTAACTTTCCAAAAGCCAATCTAAAATGTCCCAAAACATAATTCATATAATATCAAGAATTACCAGAGATTTAAAAAACTGCTCCAAAATTTGACATGGAACAATTTCTATAGTTCATAATATTGTCTGAGTTACACAAGAACTAATTCATACAAGCTATTGTATGTAATCTATTTCAGTTGTAGTTTTACATCACATTAAATTTAGAAATCCTAGAGTACCTTTATAGATAAGTTCCAGTTGCTTTTGGCTTATCCCAAGAAGTTTTTAATCTCACATAAAACTAACTCAAAAGAGAATTTAAATTTAGCACGTTGTAAGCCACAGAGCTTGAGTGCAAAAATCCAAACTTTTGCATAGATTAAAACATCCCATGGTTCTCCAGTTTTTCATTCTGTGGTAACTGATCTCCCCAGAGGTGAGCACAAAGTCACTTTCTTACTGGTTTCTTGGTGGATTGGGCTCAGTAAGATTCCCCATGAGTGGACTATGGTTTGCCAGACTCCATACAGGTCAACCAAACACTGGGCTTCTTGTTCGCACTTGGGCGGAGACTTGGACCAGTAATTTATTTTGAATTACCTGGTGTTTGCCAAAGGAGGCCCCATCCTGTGCCTTCCAGAGAATTTAACTGCTTCAGATTAGCTCTCTGCTATGGGGCTGGTGACACTAGAGGTTATCATTTTATTATATGCAACAATGAGCATCTCTTTTCTGACAGGAAGCACCACTGCTGAGGGGTCCATGGGATGCTGCCCCAGACCATTTTGCTGTAAATTCTGTGAAGGGTTATGTTTTCCTGGAGAGAGGAAGTCAGGTCACCTTGGACTCACCCCCACTCTCTGTCTCTTTTCCTTTTTCATTCAGGAGCTGAGTAGTGCAGCTTCTTTTTTTCTACTAAAAAGAAGGAAGGAAGGAAGTTGAGGAGAGGTTTCCTATTCAAACACCATATCTCCACCACACTCACATACAAACACCCTACCCCCAACATAGAAGCCATGGCCTCAGTGGAATATTTTAAACTGAACCAAAAGGGGTAGAGGGAGGTGTTGGGCCTTGGATTTGATTTTACCCTACTTATGAAGTAATAGCTTTGCCTGTATTATTTCATGAATGCTGGCAGAAGACACAAGAAACCTGGGTCAGAGACAAAGGATTTTATTACTCTAGGCACAGATAGCATGTTGAGTCAGTTCCCTCTGTGCTCCAGAGTCCCATTAGGGAAGGGAAGAGGAGTTTTGCTGAGGGCGCAGATGGATGCCTGCATAGGCAGTGAGTTGTGTTACAGGAGAGGAACTCTGAGTTTGGGGAATGTACCAATTTATAGTCAGAAGTAAGCAAGACTGCTTTTTTCCCAAGGGAGACGTTGCCTCATCCCTCAAGGTTTCTCGCTGCAAATACACTTTAAGAAATGGTTAGGGCCTTGCATTCTTGGCATACTTAGCAAGAATGTGGGTGAGTGAGAGACCCAGGGATAACTGTCTCTCCTCACAGGGGACATTTATCAGACTTTTAACCTTAAAGAAGACAGACTTTCTCCCTTTATTTCATTTGGCTCCTATCCACCAAAGTCATCCACCACTTCAACAAAATCATATCTGAATGGGTTATTCAGTTATTTAATCCCTCAATTAAATTGTCTCAAGACCATTTCAATTCCATGTATATGGGAACTATGGATCATACTGAAATGATGAAAAATATATGTTACAACCTTTCAGACACAGACCAAATAGTCACATTTTCTTACCTGGCTAACATAGTACACGTATTCATCCACCTTTTTTTTTTTTTTTTTGCGGTATGTGGGCCTCTCACTGTTGCGGCCTCTCCCGTTGCGGAGCACAGGCTCCGGACGCTCAGGCTCAGTGGCCATGGCTCACGGGCCCAGCCGCTCTGCGGCATGTGGGATCCTCCCGGACCGGGGCACGAACCCGTGTCCCCTGCATTGGCAGGTGGACTCTCAACCACTGCGCCACCAGGGAAGCCCTTCATCCATCTTTTGAACAGTTTTAAGGAATTTCTTTTACTAATGGAATCTTCATGTCTCAAGTACTCTTAATTTTCCACTTGGGA